CTTTTCGATAATACTTTTCATTTACCTCGCATACTCAATTCTCCGTTAGTGTTCGTTGATTGGTTGTATGGTTGACATTCGACAGGTAAGTATAAGATATGATCGTTCTGCTTGTCACATTGTTGTCATTTCACGGCCAAATGTAACAGGTAACACTAATAATTGAAACTATCAATCAAACTTTCGGAGCGGATGTTCATCCAAATGTTTGGGTATATTTGATTGATGAGGTTTGATTGAAATACTTTCGAGATTTAATAGTTTCTCGTGAAAGTTGGAAGATTGACAACACCGTCACACCACGAGTCTGCGTTTTGAATAAAATAATAGAAGCATGAAAATAGAAAAGGCGAGTTCGCTCTCTTCTGAGAATATCCCTCCTAGAGTGAAGACGCTTGGCGAGTTTTTTTCCTGAGAAAGACTAAAACCAGGTAATGAATGGACTCTTTCTTATCAAAATTTTGAAGCATTTTCAATATGATTATTCAAATGATGATTTCTGATTGAACTGAAAATTGGATTGTTTCTATTCACAAGTGAAAAGTTATCTTTTACCTTTTCCTGAAGGGTGCTCAATTATTGAGGAATTCCAAATTTGATTTGATGAGACGCCATTTGCTCTCATGGAAAAATTTTCATCTTGATATCTCAAATTTACTCCTGTGATGAAGAGGATTAATATTGGATCACATTATCTATTAACTCAGGAGTATACAGTATATTTTCTTCATGAGATTTTCACAACTCAAAAAGTAGGGTTATGAAATAATCGTTTTTCTGCCTGATTTTTGTATTTTCTGTCAGCTTAATTGGAGTCTTCCAGAAGTCCAAATTATCTATTTGTGAGGTGTCTTGGCCCAAATTTGAGATATTGATGCTTGATGGAAATCCACCATTATTATTCTAATTGCTCATTTTGAAGTCCCAGAGAAAATACTTTCCAGCTGAGATCAAGGATTGAACCTGTTTTGGAGTGAGTGGCAAACTTTTATAAATCTAGACTGAACGTCATCTCTGATGTGAGAATTTGCTTGCTCACTGCGAAACAGCTCAATCCACTCACTATTAGCTGGAGGGTAAAGTTTCATAATCATATCTGAGTTCATTTTTATCTCACTTTATTTCGAGGTTCATCATCTCTAGTATTTCACTCTGAAATGGAAATAATCTAACAATAAGATAGTTTGAAAATCAACATGAAGGTTCTTTATATTGCCCAAATAAATTCATCTTATCTTGGTATCCTATCTTAGATACATCTTTCATAACTTTTATCTTTTATCCATCTTGTCGTAGCTTGACTCTAGAACGGATTTTGGGAAATATTTCAATCTATATTTTGTATCTAAATATATCTAATCTCTGATATCTCATCTTTATATAATATCAACACATTGCAGAAGTAGACTGAGTGGAGGATTCTCATTTTTTGTATATCCATTAAATAAGGACTAGTTTGAAAATACTTATTCGATACAAATACAATTGAAATAAAAATGTTACTAGACAGCTCTTGGAAGAAACAGCAAAATGGCAAGTTTTGCATTTAATTCAACCTTTGGATTTTTTCTCGATCTTCCCACATATTGGGGTTATTTTTTCCTCGATTAAAGAGGGTTCATCTTCATGAGTTATATGGAGAACTGAAAGTAGCACGATTCTGAAAATTCGCATGGAATGTGAAGGTAATATGGAGGATCCAATAAAATATTTTCGTTATTATGAAGCTTCCGGTATTTTGAATGTGAAGTCATCTTGATTCACCCTATAATTCATAACAATTCTGAATCATCCTTATGATTCCGATTCAGATGCATGTAGTATTATACCCTTCACCAAATTATCCTTATGATTCCAATTCAGATGCATGTAATATTATACCCTTCACCAAAATGAACCGTTTTTGTTATTCGCGTTTTTCTAGAAAAATGACAAATGAATTATGTCACCACCTATTCCAGGGATTCCTATTCCTAGATGCACTTCAGCCGGCAGTCAGAACTTAGTTTTTATACTGTTAACATCGTCTCACATGTATCATCGTTTATTTTCAATGAAAAGCAAGTCCCTCGGTCTCAAAAATTATTTGGCGCAGTCGGTAGGATTGTCGGAGATATACGTATCGAACGTGTACCTTTCGTATCAACGATTTATCGGCAATCGAACATTTGTGAAAAATTCGTGGTTGTATTGGAAGCAGAGTGGCTCCTTAGAAATCAGGACACCCCGTCTATCGAACACCTGTGGAAGATCACATCATCAGCTTTTTTCGAGAAGAGGAACAGCATCGTCTCCTTCTGCAGAGCGATCAGTATTGGATTGGACATCAATCGGCAACCCATTGCAGACGCTTCATAGTGTAAGACAATGACCAGAGGATTTCTCATAGCGTAAGTCAATTGTATTTATGTTACTTGAAAACCTTTCTGATAACTTGTCTCTAACCGACTCAGACATTGTATCAAACTCCCAAAATATTGACCCCCAACCCACTCATAATCAAGAAAATAACATTTTACCAATAGTAGAAAATTCAAACGAAACTATGAATCTTGAAATAACTATGGCTAATCAATTCAAACCGGAATATCTGAACTGTGTTCCAAATTTTGACGGAAACCCAAACGAGTTGAATAGATATCTTGCAACTTTATTAAACTCATTTAAACTTTCTATGATGCACAAAATATTGATAGCTCTCAGAATATTTACCTTCTTAATTCGTTAATAGGAAAATTATCAGGTAATGCCAAGCTAGTTGTGCACATTCAAAACGTTACCACTCGGCAAGAATTAAAAGAAACTCTAACAAGAAATTTTGCAGATCAACGCGATGAAGCTTGTTTGAATAGAGACCTTATTATGTTAAGACAACAACACAGTGAAAAGCCTCAAAAGTTTCTCGACCGTTGCTTACAAATTTTGAATTTACTTTGTTGCAATATTGATAGTCACGAAGTGACGGCAGGAGCAAAATTATTGAAACGTAACTCATACAATAATCTGACTTTGAACACATCTCTGACTAGACTTAGAGACACTCGGTACAACAATCCGTTGTATGCGTCCCAGTAATATGAATGAAGCTCTTCAGTTTGTTATTCAGGAAGAACATATGAATTACTATCAAAATTTCACAAACAGAACATCAATTAGACCTAGTAATGTTCAAAATTCACAAAGAAACCAACAAAGATCTCCAAAGTATGAATTCAATCACTACAATAGAATACTTCTTAATGCACAAACGCAACACAATCATTTCAGGACACAAAATACGTTTCCTTCCCAACCCATTCAAATCAGACCAAATACCAATAATGCCCCGCAACGATTTTTCACAAATTCGCAAGTTTTCAGAAAAAACGCATTCAGACCAAATCAGAGAAGAAAACTTCCTGAATCTACTCCAATAAGTACGAAAAGTCGACAGACATTTAATCGTCCTCAAACAACCCCATTCAATCAGTAAAGAGCCCCACAAAAACAATGTGGAATTTGGGTCGTTCCAAAGGAAATTAACGCCTCTGGCAAGCAATAGCGGCGTGTTGTTGTTGACTATCGCAAACTTGACCAAAAGACAATCGATGACAAATATCCTTTACTCAACATCACTGATCTATGAGATAACTTGGGCAGATATCAGTACTTCACAACTCTAGATCTCGCGAGTGGTTTCCACCAAATCAAGATGAGTGAAAATGACACATAATTTAAAACTACTTCAAGCTAATTTAGATTTCGATAAAAATATTCTTGTTACTCTTCGTGCGAGAATTGAATTACAGTATTACCAAACAAAAAGTGAATTAAATTTGATATATGTTGCTCCTAGAACAGAACAAGTGATAAAGATGAGAACCATTTTTGAACACGACGAGATAATAATTCCTCATCAAAAACTGCATAACTGCGAAATTCCACAATGCCTTACGGTCGCGAGAAACAGACAAGCTTTAACGACAATTCTTAGAAACACAACAGAACAAATTACACTTGATTTCTCCGAAGCCATCATGATAGACACATTTTATAAAAAAGACTCGAAGGGATTTCAGTTGTATAACTTTGACGAATATGACGATAGTGAAAAACCCAAACTAGACGTTTCCGAAATTCGTAGAGACCATCTGAATATCGAAGAAAAATCCATGATTGAAAATCTGTGCAAAGAATAGTGACAAAATCCCGATTTGTACGAAAACATACAGATACCCTTTCGTTCATATAAAAGAGGTAGAACAAATGAGTTCATATCATGTTGCACCAAAAAATCATTCGGCCCAATAATTTTCCCTGGTCGTCCCCAATTTGGGTCGTTCCAAAGGAAATTAACGCCTCGGGCAAGCAATAGCGGCGTGTAGTTGTTGACTACCGCAAACTTAACCAAAAGACAATCGATGACAAATATCCTTTACCCAACATCACTGATCTATGAGATTACTTGGATAGATATCAGTACTTCACAACTCTAGATCTCGCGAGTGGTTTCCACCAAATCAAGATGAGTAAAAATGACACACCTAAGTTTGCATTCAATACAGAAAATGGTCACTACGAATATTTGCGAATGCCATTTGGTTTAAAAAATGCCCCTGCCACTTTTCAGAGAATAGTAGATAATATTCTTCGAAGTATTCAGAGTGAAAAGTGTCTGGTCTATTTGAATGATATTATTATTTTGTTCACCTCACTCCAAGAGCATATCGAAAGACTTGAATGTGTCTTCCAACGCTAGAGAGATGCTTATTTCCAAATTCAGCTCGACAAATCCAAGTTTTTGCGCAGAGAGGTCGCCTACTTGGGCCATGTAGTGACCCCAAAAGGTGTGAAATCTAATCCGAATAAAATAATAGCCATACTACAATAAATACCCTGACCTAACCAAACCATTTTCACTTACGACAGATGCTATTATAAGTCTTCACCACGTTCTGATAGACCATCGTGTAGTTACGCCTCTGGCGCTCTAGAATGTCACTGTTATCAAGCAAAAAAGGAATTCACCATACGAGTCCGAGAATATCCCAAATTGCCTCAATACGTTTTCAGTGCGCGAAGTGATTGTCACGATTATCACGCGTTATCGATTCTTAGTTCGCCAGAATGCCACGTAAAGAAAAATTATTCGAAGATTTTTCTCAGAAGTTGGAGTATCTTTATGAAGAGATAATGAAGATGAAACAACAAAGTGCAAGCAGTTCAAGTAAGTGTACATTTCGTTTGGAAATTTACTGACTGGAATCTGGTCATTGTTTATGCAATGATCACACCAAAGTGTTTAGTTGTTATTAATCTTATAATTGATACATTTTGCTGATCTTTAAGAAGTACCAATTCAATGGTGAATATGTTCGATGTTAATCTTATAATTAACATAGTGGACTGTTCCGTAATGTGTTGATGTCAATCTTATAATCAACATAAATGTCCCGTATCGCTGTCATTGTTTATGCAATGATTCGTACCTATTACGTGATACAAAAATTTCAGACAGTGATAATCTTATAATTATCATCGATACTGAACAAAACTAAACAAATTTCATTTGAAAAAAAGTGGGGGGGGGGAAGCACTGGGCGTATCTTCTTATGGGGTATTATTCCAATGTTAAATCTCATGATCTTCCTAGGTGAGAACGAGGAAGAGATAGACTTTGTCACTCCCATACCCAGAAAAAATAGTAGAAAGCGAATTCGAGCTATTTCGTCTTCCTCAGACGAGGATATATCCAGGGAAGTAGTGACAACAGCTCTCATCCATAGCCCACCTCAAACCATGTGCGCAGATTCCTTAATAGGAACCGACCCAACAAAGTCCACTACTGCAGGGCCACCATTGGACACAGAATTAGTAGTTCGCTGGAGCAACTATCTAACCGAGGGTATCGACAAGGAAGCAAGGAAAGAATTCCAAAAAATTGTCTTTCCGGAAAACTGTCCACAATTGGCCGCTCCCTCTCTCAACATGGAGGCAGATAAACTCATGTCGTCCTCAGATAAAAAGAAAGATGCGCTGTTAATGTCCCTCCAGGACAAACTTGGTCGCGGTCTAACGTTGTTGGGTGAGATTATTTCTTTGCTTTTGTCAACAAATGTTCCAGCAGAAATAAGGACGTTACTTACCCCAAAGGCGGCTTTATCCTCTAAGCAATTTTGCGAAGTACATTACCTCTTGTCCAATCATCGCAGATATCAAATGTTACCACTATTCACTCAAGCTACACAAAAAGTTGCTCAAGAATCAAAATTGGACAACGAACTTTTTGGAAAGCATTTTGATGAAAAATGCAAAACCAATTTGACAGTAGAGAAGTCGGCAATAGAAATCAGAGCAAAGAAAACAAAGATGGAAACAGAAGCAAGACCACTCCAACCTCTCAGGAGGGGGGAGCTGACCAACAGGCCACGGTACAGGACGTATCCTTCGACGTACCCTCCGCAGCGCGACCACTTGAGTCGTTAGAGGTAGAAACTCTTGTCAAAAAATATGCGGGGAACATTCGTCTTTTTATAAACAATGGCAAATGATTACGAATGACCGAAATATTCTGAAATGGGTTAATGGATATGAAATTCCTTTCCACTCCAGTCCTCATCAGGACAAAATACCAATGCATAAATCTCTTTCGCATTCTGGGGATATTCGTATGAAACAAAGTTTCACAAGAAATGATCAAACCAGATCAATTTCCATTTGGATTGACATTAGGAAACACCTTGAGCTTTGGAAATATTATCCAAATTGAATGTTACATTCTTGATAACAGAATTACCTACCTAGGGGAAATGTGCCTATGATGGCCCCCTGCCTATGATGGCCCACCATCTGTATTTTAAAAAATCGCGCCCTTACCGCCCCACCACCATACCCAGCTGATGCATAAAGCCATTTCGCCAGTTCGCACTAGCTTGCAGATGCGTGTACTCCATTTTGGTGCTGTTACAAAATAATTTCCAAATTGGTAAGTGTTCATCTAATATAACTGTTTTCATATGTCATACTTCACTCTCATAATAAAATGAAAATGACATTTTCAGTCGATATGTAGGGTAGAAGTGAATATTGTCGATCTATTTCTCTCTTCAAATTGATTCCAGTGTAAACAGAGCAAATGTTATATTATTCAAAGTACCGATACGTTCATTTGCCTATGATGGACCCCCGAGTGCGTTCCGATGATGGACCAGGGGGCCATCATAGGAAGACAAATATATGAAGTACCTACACGTCATTCTATAAGTAACTTTGGCATACTTTTTTATAGCAATGGCCAGTAAGAATAGGCAACAGTGGGAGGAAATTGCCATGCAACAAGCTCTAAGCAATGTGACAGATAAAAGCATGGGATTTAAGCTAGCAGCAAGAACTTTCAAAGTTCCCAAAACTACGTTACGAAGAAGATTTGCCAACCAACAAGGAAGTTCGAAGGGTAACTTGGGAGGTCGGAGAGCAACACTATCTAGGTCCGTGGAGAATGAATTAGCTGACCATATTATTGATATGGAAACAAGGTTTTTTGGTCTCACCAATAGAGATTTACGTAAGCTGGTTTATGAAGTTGTCGAGAAGAAGAATATTGATCATACTTTCAATCGCGAAACCAGAATGGCAGGATGGAAATGGTGCAGAGGCTTCTTGCGCCGTAATCCAAGGATATCTTTAAGATCCCCTGAAAGTACGTCGTTGGCCAGGGCCCAGGCATTCAATAAGCCTAATATATGTGCCTATTTCACTGCATTAGCTGAAATTCTGGACAAATTCAACTTCCTTCCAGAAAACATCTATAACATGGATGAGTCTGGATTGACGACGGTTCAGAAAAAATCTCAGAAAATTTACGCTGCCAAGGGTCGCAAAAGAGTTGGTGCTATAAGTAGCGCAGAGCGTGGCCAACATGTTACCATAGTCTGTGCAATGAATGCTATTGGAATGTATGTGCCTCCTGCTTTTATTTTTCCACGACAAAGGATGAAGGAAGAACTCATGAATGATGCACCTGCTGGGAGCATATCTTTTGCTCAAGAAAAAGGTTGGATGACCACCGACATTTTCAATAAATGGCTGAAACATTTTGTGAGGTATACGAGAGCATCCAAAGAAAACAAGGTTTTATTACTACTAGACGGCCATGGTAGTCATAAGGGCCTCGAAGCTCTGGAGTTTGCGAAAGAGAATGGTATTGTTATCTTCTGTTTCCCGGCCCATTGTTCCCACCATGTTCAACCTTTGGACGTTGGATTTTTCCGTCCACTCCACACTTACTATGATCAAGAAGTTCAACTCTGGATGCGCCAGAACCCAGGAAAAGCAGTTACACAATTCAAAATTGCAAGTTTATTTAACAAAGCTTATTTAAAAAGCGCTTCGCCATCGAACGCAATAAACTCCTTCAAAAAAACAGGAATACAACCATTTAATCCAGATATTTTTGAGGACTGGCAGTTTTCTCCATCGTTAACAACAGACAGACAAATTCCTAATGAACAAAGTGAGAACCATGGTAACCAATCGCTACATTCAGAATGTGACCAGCAACCAGTACAATGCGGTCAGAACTCAATACCAGGACCATCAGCTCCGATCTCAGCACCAGGACCATCAGGACAAAAATCATCACCAGAACCAGTTGATATTTCAATTAAAGATATTTTGACTCCTCCTCCATCAGCTACGGTGGTTCCTCCAGGGCAAAAGAAGAGTAGGAAACGTGGGAAAACTGGTTTCTTGAACTCGACACCTGAACTCACAAAATTACAAGATGAAATAGCCACAAAAATATCCAAAGTAAGAGAGCAACACGCTAGGAGAGCGAAGAAACAAGTTTTCATTGCATCAAGTCAAGTCAGTTCAGATCTCGGTTCAGATGATGAAAACGAGCATGCCCTTGAAAACTTCCTGGAACAAGATCAGTCCGATGATGTTCCTTGTATATATTGCAATGAGCTATATTCCCAGTCAAGGTCCAAAGAAAAATGGATTTGCTGTCAATCATGTGGATCCTGGTGTCACAATGAATGCGCTGGCGTTAACAGTCGATGCAAACAATTTGTTTGTGAATTATGTGTTTGATTTTATTTTTTATTATGAGATGTCTGCATTATTTCCTTTTGTTTTCATCCAGAGATGAGCTTTTTATTCAATAAAAATGTTAAATGATAAAAATGAATGTTTTTCCATATATCAGCGGCAAAGGGGGCCATCATGGGTGTATATGTTCCTATGATGGACCCTTTGGGTAAATTCAGAAAAATGCAAATAAAATACATTTTTCAATCTTCAATGAAAATAATAATGGGTGACATTGAAGTACAACTGATGAGGAGTCAATAAATAATCCGATGGTATTAAATAAATGTATAATAAGAAAATAATGAGGCAATTTCCTTAGGGGGGCCATCATAGGCACATTTCCCCTACTTAGAATCCCAAATGTGTATCCATACATTTCCGAATATTATCACCTATACCAAATTCCTGTTCCTAGTCGAAATCAGTTTAGGACAATATTACCAAAAAGTAAGTTCTTGTTGAAGAATACTTTGTACTGTGTCAGAGTCAAACCACAAATGTACGTTTGCAAAAAGACGGACCTTTTCGAAGTATCCAACGACAGCCCCTGTGAAGTACAACTTCTGTCCATGAAAAATACGACCACTTGCATACAAATCGACACGGAAATCACGGAGCCAAAGGTCATTCAACTAGAGGATTCAACCATGTGGATCGGCATATTTCCCACAAAAACAAATGTCAATATGAAGTGTAAAGAACATGATGAAATATCCAAAGTTTTTGGCACATATCTGATCACGATTCCAATCGGCTTTCAGATAACAACCAATCACTTAGAAGTTTCCAACAGAGAACAAGTAATCGACAAAAACCAACCAATACTGATACCAAACTTGGACCAAGAAGAACACCCCTCACCATTCCACACGAACTTCAGCATACACATAGATGACCTCAACCTGGACGAGCCACAAAATGTCAAGAAACAGCTATTCAGAAACGAACCAGAACTAGATTTCGACGAAAAGGGAATATCCTATTCTTGTTGTAGTCTACATGATATACAGGAGGATCAATTGCTACCAAACCACTTCCATTGGACCACCTACAGAAGCCATCCAGATGGAAACCGTTCAACTACCTCGTTCCACTGTGTAGATGAATCTTTAGGGGGAGGAATTATGTCAGCACCTATTCCAGGGATTTCGCTGACGCAGCTTGTATACCCATCGCCTAAGAAGAAGATGCTGCACTAGACAATAGTCTACCTTATTCCTAGATGCACTTCAGCCGGCAGTTAGTTAATTTTTATACTGTTAACATCGTCTCACGTGTCATTCGCACTAACGAGAACAAGATCCTGATAGACTGGTACAGGAAACCTTGCAGCTCTGGCAGGTACATGAACTTCGAATCGTACCACAAGAGATCTATGAAAGTTAACTTGGTCAAGCAAATGAAAAACAGAGTGATGAGAATCTCAGACAATACTTTCCATAATAAAAATTTTAAAATTCTTTTACAGCTTTTTGTTGACAACTCATATCCGGTCAAATTAGTAAAATCAATATTATTCAATGCACCATCCATTGATCAAACTGACAATTCAATTAACAACCCAGATCCACAACAAAATGCAACAATCCCTGAGACAATTCCAGCGACAATCATTTTCACTTTACTACCCTATATAAGAGAGATAACACCACAACTGACCAGACTATTTCCATCAACAGGTAACTTAAAAATAGCATACAGAACAGTAGTAACTATCAAATCCTTGCACACTAAAATCAAAGATAAAGTGCCCTTGTTATCTAACACAAATGTAATTTATAGTATTCCTTGCCATGATTGTAATAACCAATATATAGGCCAAACATCGAGGTCACTATCCAACAGAATAATCTCACATAGAAGTGATTGCAGACTGCACCCATGAATTTCGATGCTGTTAAAATCCTATCACGAGAAAAACATCTGATGAAAAGAACTTTCTTAGAAATGGCTTTTATTTCACAATGCAATAATTGCATAAATAAAAAAACAGATATTAATCATTTAAGTGAGATTTATTCCTTTTTACTGTCTTTAGATAACTCATAATCATTTCAAATTACAGTTTTCTACGTTGGTACGCATTGTCTGTTGGTACCACTGTTTGTGCATTTTTGACATGACAATTGTCTTCACACACACTGTCATATGTCAGTCATATTCATTTTTCAAAAAAACTCATTTCCCGGCACCATTTGCAATAACCTTATCTGCCAACAATTCCAACCATGTGGTGGAAGATGTGACTTTTAACTTAGTTTTATAATGTTTTAACGTGTGTTATTCAATGTAATGTATTTTTATCGATGACTTTTGGGCTTATTCATGTTATGTTACCAAGACACATAAAGAAATTATACATGAACATCATGTCAGCCATCCTCAACAAAGTTGTAAGTACACAAAGATTTCATCACTTTAACTACATGATACTCATGAATAATCCCTTTACAGACTCCCTGATGATGAAAATAAAGATTTTCGAAAGCTTGGACCAACTTTAAAGAGTACTCTTTTGACTTTGCTGCAGTCCCCAATATTCCCTAGTTTATTTATTTATATGTATATATATAGGTATCTTACTCACCTCC